CCGCCGCCGATGTAGGAAAGACCCGCAACTGGGTCGTCAGGACCCAGGGAGGCATCGGCCCCCGCCAGTGCGACGTGGAGCGCACAAGCTGAGCAGCCGCGTGTATCCAGGGAGGTTAGAGTTGCTGCCGGGACGATCTGCTCGAGGACGAGCATAGGCGCTTTTAGCTGGAAGTCTTGCCTGTCCATCTCGCTCCAGGTCTGCGGGCAGTCGGCTTCCCGCGCGGCCGGGCGGTGATGCGCCAATGCCACGAGCTTGGAGATGCGGGGAAGAACAGCCTCGATGCGGCCGTGCAGGTCGGCCAGGTCTTCCAGCGTGAGGCTCCAGGTGCGGGCAAACTGGCTTCGAACCCCAGAATGGCTTCGATGACGTCCCCGGCCTGTTCTGCATGAGAGAAAGGCCACAGAAACACTCGCGGTTCGCGGAGCATGAGCATCATGGCAACCAGAAGCGACCGGGCCTTGCAGGAATCCATGGGGAGGCCGTCGGTGTCTGTGATTCCCTGGCGGAACTCTTCCATCGAGGCACCACGCCCTCGGAGGATCTCTCCCAACCCGGCCATTCCAGGGTGCCTCCTGTGTCGGCAGCAGTCCTTGGTAGCGGTGCTCCAAGCCTTGGGGACCTGACGGAAGAGCCCTTTGGGGGTGCACTGGCGGCGCTTCCAGAGCGTTACACGCCTGCCGTTGGCGTGAGGCAACGGGGGAAGGGAGTCGCCAGGGGCGGCGTAGCTCGCGTCCTGCCAGGGGGTGCCCAGGCACAGCGACCGCACGATTGCTGCCCACAGCACGTTGTAGACTAGATTGGTCGCGTCGAGTCCCAGAGACATGTTAAACAAGAAGCCCAGATGCGACCAAGCCTTGCGGTCAAGAATGCCGGGCTGTCGCGGTGCATTGGCCAGTGAGAATTCGCGAGGGTGAAGCCCGGACATCAGGTATGAGCACATGGAAGGCAGGCGTTGAGAGGATAGCGTGGAGCCCTCCCGAGATTAGTTTACCCAGGGTCTCCCAGTCGAAGTGTTCGTCCAGGGGTGCATTAAAGCGCTCAGCGAAACTGGTGGCCTGGGCATCACGTGCTTTCTTCTTGGCGGCATCCAGCTCGCACTGCCCGTTCTTCCCCTTTGCGTCGCGGTTCCAGGCGACGGGCGAGGAGATCCATGCAGCGAGGTCCTGGAGTGGGTCGAAGCTTTCGTCGATATCCAGGGAGAGCCTGTGGCCCACTGGGGCGTGGCCTCGACACTGGACCCGCAGGCGGGTCAATCGCCCGCACTCTGAGAGTACTCGGAGCTGTGACCAGGTGGCGTTGGCGAACATGCGTCCGCCCCCCAAGATCAGGATGTTCTGCTTAGCCCTGGTGGTCGCCACGTTCAGACGCTTGGCGTCATCGACGAAACCCCCGTTGTAGCTCCTGTTGCTCTGGGTAGTTAACAACATTACGATGTCCGCCTCGCCTCCCTGGCTGGAGTCGATTGTGGTGAGCTTGAGCGCCCCAATCGTCATGTGCTCGCCCGCAGCCTGCCGTAGTCCAGGGAAAGAAGAGCTGATAGCAGCATGGACATTATGGTCCTCTCGGAACACGCGTTGCCAGCGCTGAGCGTCCACCCTGCGGCCTTGAGGGGGTTGTCCAGGTCCGGGCGTGTCCGGCCCATCGCGTCCAGAGCCGTCCCCCCCCTTGCCGGCCTGCCCTTTCCTGCTTCCTTTAATGTTGCGCAGGGCGCCGGAGAGGTGGCGAAGACCCTGCGGCCACCCATCCATGAGAATCGCCGTCTGGAGCTGGTATCCGACCACAATCCTGACAGAGGTGTCATTGTTGAGTTCGGGCAGAAGTGCACGCGCGATGTCCGCGGCCTGAGCTGCCTCCGGTAGGTTGGCGAAGCCAGGTTGCAGCTCTGAGGTGACTTCCCAGGAAGGTGTGTGAACCAACAGGAAACGGTGCTTGTCGGCGCTTGGCGGCGGATCTAGCTGTTCGAGGGTGGCGCGGAGGTCGCCTTCGTCAGACTCAGTGAGTTCCGCCAGCTTCTTCAGTCGCCCGGGCCCCCGCGCGCCGATGCCTCTCCAGGGGATGCCTTCAACAATTGGCCTCTCACCGAGCGGATCCAGGATGCCAGATTTCATGCCGTTCCCGTAGTAGGCAGCGTTAGGGAAGGCAAGGAGCTGCGGATGCATCCGGCAGCAGATCGAGAGGCGAACCACGGACGTTTCTTGGCCGCGGAGTGCGTGAAACATCCGGTCGAAGATGCTGACGCAGAGCCCAAGGTCGTTTGCCAGCTTGGAGAGCACCGTGGGGGGCAGCTGGTTTGGGTCTCCAACGAGGACCACGGTCCCACCACTGTTGATCAGGTTAACCATTGACATGAGCCCGTGGAGCTCTGTGGCCTGTCCAGCCTCGTCGATTACCAGGAGGACAATTTGTGGGCTGTCCTTTGGACCGAGGGCCTCTGACCCCTCGTGCGTAGACATGATTATCCTGGCCCCCCGTAGCAAGCTCGCCTTGTAGGGCCTGAAGTCCTGGCTCTTGTCCCCGTCCTGGAACGGGAAATCTCCGTGGGCGCTCCTATAGTGACCTTCAGGCGTCAGGTCGACGAGTGCCTCATTGACACGGTCCTTCTTTGCAAGGCGCACGAATTTGTCGGGGAAGCCCGTGTCTGGGTCGAGGCGCCGCTGACGTTGTGCTTCGATCATTGCCAGAGCTGGTTGGTCCACCGCTGTGTTGGAGCCCGCTGCCAGAGCGACCGCATGTCCAGGGCGTAGGCAGGAGCCCCACATGTCCAGGCAGGCTACCGAGAAGGTGGTCTTGCCCGTTCCAGGGGGTCCATGCACAAGTACGGCGTGGTGGTTCAACGTGGCCTGCAGGGCCCTGGACGCATCTTCGTTCGGCCTGTGCCTGTCAAGGATTCTGTGGAGTGTGTCCAGGCTGGGAGTAGGACGCACTCTCTGAAAGACAGAGCCAGTCGCATCTGAGATCTCCTCGTCAGAGAACGCCTTCAGGCCTTGGGGGAGAGGCGGTACCTGTTGCAGTAGGCCGTCCTCGACAGCCAGAGTGTGATCGGCGTCGGGAACAGTCTGGTCCAGGGTGGCGGCCGCCCTGGCCCTAAGGCTCAGCCCCAATGGACGAGTGTGCTCCAGGTCGTTGGCCAACTGTCGCTCCGACCGCGGGGCGTGCACAAAGGCCGAGAGGAATGTCACCGGGGATAGCTGGTGGCCGAACAGATCCGCTGGGTTCTGACGAAGGAAGTAGATCTGGTCGAGCGCCGCGCAATGCCGCCATAACTGGATGTCAGAAGGGGCCTCATCCACACGGTACCAGGGAACATCATCGCTAGGGGGGCGTTTCGCCTAGGTCTCGTCTTCGTGGAACTGACCACCCTTCCCACGATTGTAGACCACGATGCACCTGTTTGAGGGGTACCTGGCGGAAGGGCTGAGACCTAGCGCTGGAGCGTCCTTGGGGTGGATGGTGCCTCCCAGAGCAGGAGGCCACCAAACCGTGACGTCTGCAATCTTGTCTACTGTAGGGCCCGTGACGGAAATGTACAGCCACCTGCTCTTTTTGTCACGTTCCAGGGGTCTGGATGCAACCTTGAACATTGAGGGCCACTCCAACAGGAGAAGCTCTTTACCGACAGGTAGGTACATAGCATTCCGCAGCCGAAAGGTATCCAGGTCCTCCAGTTCCGCGTTGGCATCGATCTTGGAGACGCGAACTCCGAGGGCACAGTTACCTCTCCTGGCGAGATCTTCTCGAGTGGAGCCTTCGCCATCGTCTACCGTCTCGACCGAGGCCTGGCTTTCAACCCAGGCGATTCTCCTTAGCGTTTGTCCTCGGTCCTGGAGAGAGTAGGGCCATTGCGAGGGAAGTCGAACGGCTGTCTTGGGGTGGACTCTAGAGTGCAGGGAGTCCAGCGGGACCGAGTAGAGACTGGCGACCTCTGAGGCAGCCTGCATGGCCAGTGACTCGTCCAGGGCAGCTGGGCTCGTCGGAGAGAGAGCGTCGACCTCCGTCGCGCTGTCTTCGGCCAACAGGACTGTTCGCTGTTGACAGGGTGGAGTCCAGGCGGGGGGAGGGCGAGGCGGCGGAGGCGGAGGGGGAGGCAGGCCCGAGGAGCCTGATGCCTGTCCAGGTGTGGGAAGTGGCCCGATGGTCGATTTCGCCCGCATCCTGTTCCCGTCGCCGCCCTCAGACGGCCTGAGGCCTTCCCTTGCGGCGCCCCGCCTATCCATCATGTGTGTCCGCACCCTCTCCGGGTCCACCCTGGTGCCCCCAGGGCAATTGTACGTTGGCGGATCGTCCCAGAGGGGGTAGGTAATGGGTACGTGTAGCGCGTCCTCTGGGATCGCAATGCCAGGGAGCGAGCGTACCCCGTCACGGGTAACCGTGGGCTGGACTGGCCTCCAGCCGTGCCAAGGCTTCCGCACAAAGGACAGCTGGTGGGATTACGCGAAGCGTCTAGAATTTGACTTTGGTCGGCCCGTATGTTCCACGCCCTTCGCTAAGTACTGAGCATGCACTTCTAAGGACAGCACCCAGTCCTTTGCTAAGTCGCTTGCTATTTCAACTGCTACATACTAAACAGATGACTTCTACGTACTTGCTCACTACTTAGACGCTAAGTACTTCCCTAAGTACTTAGCCTCTACTTCTAAATGTTAGGCTAACTACTAAGATGTACTGAATACTTAGCCATGTTACCAATTACTGGGCAACGTATTTAGTAATTAAGTCTTGGAAGGGCAAAGAAGTGACATGCAAGTATTGAGGAGTGACTGGCAAGTATCTCAGACTCATCTTGGAAGAGTGCTGTAAGTACTTACTGAGTCAGCGAAGCACTCCCACTCGACACGTCCCCCCGAGCAGGGCCACGCGTCGGGCCCCGCGGCCATCCACAAGTGGCCCGGGATGAACACCTACTTCTGGGGGAAGTTGGGGGGGGCCTCTGGGGCCGCGACTCGAGAAAATCGTATCGTCGGCTGCCTGGGCCTGGGCAGGGGTGGCTTCTGGTGATCGGCGTGCCGGCGGCGCTGCATGCCACGCAGCGGCACGAGCCCCTCCGTGCCCGGGTTTGCTTGGCCGCCACGACCGCTGCACACCCGAGGGCCCACCCCTGCGCAGGACCACTCTTGCGCGCAGCCGGGCTCAGCCAGCCCGTGGGCAGGCCGGCCAGGAACTGCGGCGTGTTGGCCAGCACCAGGAACGCGCCCTCGCGCCCAGGCGGCGACAAGTTGGCCGTGTACGTGACAAAGCGTGGGCTCCATATCACCTCGCCGAGGCTCATGAGCAGGAGCCACGCACAAGTCGCTCGCACCGAGGTCTCCAGCACCATGAATGCGGGAGCGACGGCCATGACGAAGCTCCCGAGGATGATGCACGGCATCTCCTTCCAGTGGCCCGTCACTGCCGCTGCGATAGGCGGCACAACGGTGCACGTCCAGTAGTTGATGCTGTTCACGGAGCCCCATGGAGAATCCTCCCCGAGCTCCCTGACCAAGTACTTGGGCATGGTGGCGTTCATGTGGTGCCACTGCGCCTTAGTCCCCACCAGGCAGCAACTGATGGCAGCCACCGCCAGCAAGCTCCTGGGGATGCAGAAAACTACCGATACCGCTACTCGCTGGACCTCTCCCAAGAAGTGCGTTCTGGCCAGAATCTCGAAGCGAATCCTGCGGTGGAGCGGTGGGGACGAGGGCCTCCCAAGAGGCCCAAGAAGGCAAAAACGATGCGAGGGTAGCGGTATCGGTACCTTTCCCCCAGGGGGCGAAGAACGGTAAAAACTAAACTGTCCCGCCGTCGGGGACGCCTGCCCCCGGGCCACTGGACAGTATATACCCCTACGTGGCACCGCAAGGGTATAAACTCTCCAGCCGCCCTGGGACAGGCGCCCCCGACAGCGACAAAGCTCGGGTCGGGCGAAAGGGGGGGATAGCAAAGGGGGGGGGGTGAGAATCAGCTCACGTAGCTGATCTTCCAGGCGCCTCCCGGCGCCGGAGGCGGCCATGTATCGAGGAATGGGCCCCTCGGTGGGGCCGAAACCGGCTGCATGCAGCAGATTTCGTACCCCCCCCCTTTCCCTATCCCCCCCTTTCGCCCGACCCGAAAAAAGCTTATCCGATACCGCTCTCCGCCCGCTGTTTGTTCCTCCTCCCCAGACCCCCGACGTAATGATTTTTTCATTCCGTCGACCCCCAGATGTCCCGACCCTTTCCCCATGACCGGCTTTGCATCCTGAGTCGTTTTTTGACGCTCCCGAGGCCCGGTGAGGGCCCCCGGAGGCCGAAAATTAGGAAAAACCTCCCGTCATGATTTTTTCATTACTCGAGGGGGTCTGGGTCTGTGCCGCTGCGCTCCTGCTCCTCAGCAGCTCCAGGCGGTCCCTCGCGCCGGCCGCGCAGGCGACGAGCCAGCCCGCTCCGCGGCCCGGCGCTGCCGCCCCGCGCGCCCGCAGCACCGGCGCCCCGTCCTGCTCCTGCCGGGCGACAGGGGGGTACCCTTAACAGGGGATATGTCGACCCCTATCCCAGGCTTCGTGGGGTTTCCGAATGGACCAGAAATTTGGGGCCTAACCCTGGGATATACGAGGAGGGGGGCGTCCATCCTCGACAGGGGTGCGTCCGAATAGCCCCCTCGGGATGTATCCCAAGATTCCTCCCCTTTTCTGAGCGACCAAACTTTTCTGGCGGAAGTCGGGGATTGGGGGAGAGAAATCGCCTGCGACTGATGGTCCGCCACCGAAAATTTCCGGCAGCGCTCCGCAGAGATCGGTCGCCACCGAACTACCGAAACGTAGCGCCCAATGCCGGTATCAGGCCGTGCTGAAATCCGCTCTTTCAACGCCCTCAAACGAAGATTCGGTCGCTACCGAAATTCGGGGTGCGTCGAAATCGCTACCGAAAATTTCCGGTACCAGACCATCTGGGGATAGCAAAGGGGGGGGGTTCAGAATCAGCTCGCGTACCTGACTTTCCAGGCGCCTCCCGGCGCCGGAGGCGGCCACGTATCGCAAAATGGGCCCCTCCGTGGGGCCGAAACCAGCTGAATGTAGCAGATTTCGCACCCCCCCTTGCCCAGTCCCCCCTTTTCGTCCGGCCCGACGGGGGGCACCAAGAAGTCAGAGTGAGGGGGCCGAACGGTCACTGGCTGGCTGTGGTCGGGGATCGACGTTGTGCGAAGAGCACGGCGTCGGGGGTCCGGGTCCCCTCCCTCCCCAGGACCACCCCCCTTCTGTCTTTCGGCAACGGCACACGATGTCGTCCCCCCCACAATTCGGCGCCTGTTGCTAGGCAGCCGTGCACGGCTTCTCGTGGCGTCAAGTCAGCCACGGCCACCGTGTCCCTGGGCGCGTGGCTGAATTGCGGTTACGCGGTGTGGACTGTGGTTGTACCGTTGAATCCTCACGTCTACGGATTAATTTGTATCCCCCCGCCTGGTGCCCATTTTGTTGACATTCAATTGAAATGCTGTTCCTGGGGTTCGCACGTTGATTTCTACAAGGGGAAATCTTTGGCGTCAGACTGCGCCCCCGGCCCCCGATTCACAACAGCAGCAACAACAGCAACGACAACAAAAGCAACAGCAACAGCAACACCAACAACAACAAAAAAACGACAACAACCATTCTAAGACTGTTCGCTCTGATCTGCTCACGGGCCATTCAACACGTATATCCCAAACTCTCGATACCCGCCCTCGTCGTCTTCGATCGTACCCCCGTGGGGGTACATCTCTCTTACCTGCAACGTGTATGTCATGCAGCCTCTAAACCAGGGGAAAAGAGGACGGATGAAGGAAGGGACGCGGGGCAGGGAGGAGGATGGAGCACGAGAGAGAGTAGCAAGAGGGGGGCTGGGACCAGGAACCACGTGGCAGAACCAGACGGGCAGATCGGGCGGGTAGACCGTAAAATGCGGGTCGGGAAAGCGGGCCCAGGCGGCCAGGTCGAGCAGGCGGGTTGCTGAAGCCTGTGTCCTGCACGAATCGCGGGGAAGTCACGAACGATGGCGCGATTTCCAAATCCATAATCACGAAATCCATAGCGAAAACGTCTTTCGTGAGCGTCGATGGCGCGGCGCGACGTTTAAATAAAGTAGGAGGAAGTCCAACGCGAGAGCGCGAGTCCTACATACTGTGCGTAATAAATCGTAAGGAAGTGTCAGACGGGAGCCGTTGTTGTAGCGCAGCACCGCAATTTGGGCACACCACGATTTCCATTGTAACATACTTGGTGCAAGCCCCCGGAGGAACACTCTAATTGAAGAGCACAAGTGTTACCAGAGATGGGCATCAACAGTACTTACACTTGGAAGCTCAGCAACAAAAGCAGCACCAACAACACTAACAACACAACCAACAGCACTCAGTTGAACACTGTTCGCTCTCATCTGTTGGCGTGCTTTTCAATACGTATATCCCAAACCCTCGACACCCGCCCTCTTCGTCATTGATCGTGCCCCCTTGGGGTAAAGCTTTCTTACCTGCAGCGTGCATTTCATGCAGCCCATACGGCACGGGAAGAGAAGACCGATGGAAGAAAGGGACAATGGGGAAAAAAAATGAGGAGTGAGCACGAAAGAGACAGAGAGAGAGAGCAGCAGGAGGGGGGGCAGGAGCAAAAACCACGTGGCAGAACCAGACGGGCAGATCGGGCGGGTAGACCGTAAAATGCGGGTCGGGAAGGCGGGCCCAGGCGGCCAGGTCGAGCAAGCGGGTTGCTGAAGCCTGTGTCCTGCATGAATCGCGGGGGAATCTCGAGCGATAGCCATTCCCAAAATACATAGTGATATGTGGCAAAGCGGGAGCGTGATTCCTGAATGCCGAGGGCGCGGCATCTGAATACATTGTGTGGAAGCCCGCGAAGGCGCGAGTTCTGCATACATCGTGAGGACGTCCCGCGCGAGAGCGCGATGTGGGAATACATTGTGAGGACGTATCAGGCGAGAGCCGTTGTCGCTGTTGTAAACAAGGGGCCGGGGGCGCAGCTTGGTGACACCACGCTATCCTTGTAAGAAGCTCGGTGCGGTACCCGGAGAAGCAGTTTGATTGGAATCTACAATGTTTACCGAGGAGAGGTAATCAACAACAATGTTTCTTCAGAGATGTGAGTTCACCAGAAAAAGCTACAACAATCATGTTAAGACTGTTTGCTTTTATCTGCCCGAGTGACATCCACCGTGTATTTCTCAGACCCTCGGTACCCGCCGTCTCCGTCTTCGATCGTACACCTTTGGGGGGAATAACCTCATGCCCGTGAGAATAAACACTGGGGGATAATAAAGTTCGGGGTTCAGGGAGAGATAATAAAAGTAGCCCAGCAGACCTCAGCATAATCTCGAAGTAAGAGATGATCAAGAGGAGACCAAGCCGAGCACGTTTTGAAACATCCTTGGCGTTTAGTTTTCATAGAAATATCCTCAACAATGGCTTATCTCGCTGGAATGGGGGAAGCTATATATAAAAAAGAAAATAAAAAGAATAACGAATAAAATAAAAGAAATGATAGGAGGAGGAGAAGGACGAAGAGAAGAAAAAAACTCGAGTTCCAAATCTATTAGATTTTATTTACAAGCGCTTTATGAAAATTGATGTTTGTAAGTGCTCGTGTAGGGTAGCTCATGTGCCTCAATTTCCATGGATAATCAACCCCAGAGATAAAAAAAAAGTTCAGGCGAGCGTGGGGACAGAGAGAAATATAAAAGAAGAAGAGGAAAGTAGAAGAATACTAAGAAAGAAGAAGAAGAGGATAATAAGAAGAGGACGAAGAAATGAAAAATCCAAAGTTCCAAATCTATCAATTTTAATTTACAAGCGTTTTTTTTTTTTTTTTTTTTTTTTTTTTTTTTTTTTTTTTTTTTTTTTTTTTTTTTTTTTTTTTTTTTTTTTTTTTTTTTTTTTTTTTTAAGTGCTCGTGTAGGGTAGCTCATGTGCTTCATTTTCCATGGATAATCAACCCCAGGGATAAAAACGTTCAGGCGAGCGTGAGAACATATAGAAATATAAAATAAGAAGAGGAAAGTGGAATCATAAAAAGAAGAGAAGAAGAGAAGAAGAAGAAGAGAAGAAGAACGGAAACATGGAACGTTCCAAATCTATCAATTTTAATTTACAAGCGCTTTATGAAAATTGATTTTTTAAGTGCTCATGTAGGGTAGCTCATGTGCTCCCCTTTCCATGGATAATCAACCCCAGAGATAAAAAAGTTCAGGCGCGCGCGGGGATAGCAACATCGCTTGATGTTGCTATCTCAACATAGCGTTTCGAGGTGATAATGAAGTTCGGCCTCAGCGCTCGCCGCCCAATTTGAATTTTGTATAGGGCGACGATAATCAACTCTAAACACTGAAGGGGGGGGGGTCCCTTTATTATCATCGGCATGCGGTTATCTTTCTTCCCTGCAGGCCGGGCGTCGGTAAGCGGCGGGGTGGCCGCGGACCGTCGGCCCGGCCAGCGGCAGCGCTGATCGGCGGCAGCCCGACCCCAAGAGTTACGGACAGGAAACCGACCACGACGACGACGACGACGACGACGACGACGGCGACGACGACGACGGCGACGAACGAGAGTGAGAGCGAGAGCGACAGCGCGGCCACGAAAGGCAGGAAGGGGGCCAAGAAGGGCGGCAGACGGGCCACGAAGGGCATGCGGATGGGGCCACGAACGGCTCGAACGAACGGGGGCCACGAAGGTCAGATTATGCGGGGCCACAGAGGGCAACGACGGGGCCACTGAGGGTAGCAACAGGGCCACGTAGGACAGCGAGGGGGCCACAAGGGGCGACAGCGGGGCCACCAAGGGCATGCATATGGGGCCACGACGGGCGCGAACGCGCAAGGGCTGCGACGGGCATACGTAGATTGGCCCGCAGAGGGCAAGGACGGGCCCACTGAGGGCAACAACGGGGCCACGAAGGGCACCGACGGGGCCATCGCGAGTAAATCTCAACCGATAACGCGATTTCTAAGCAAATCTTTGAGTCCACAGCGAGAGCTTGCTTCCTGAGTGCCGAGGGCGCGGCGTCTGAAAAAAATGCGTGGTAGTGTCACGCGAAAGCGCGATTTCTGCATACACTGTGAAAAAGTCTCGCGCGAGAGCGCAGTGTGGGAATCCGCCGACCCTGTCGGCGTGTGTGCATCCGTTCGAGTCGGGTTCTTACATTGGAGTCGTCGTCTCCGTCCTCCACTGTTCCAGTTGCCTGGTCCCTCTTCCTCATGCGCGCCGTCCAGAGCAAAATTGAACACCATAAGAGTGGAATCGAAAGGAAGCCCCTTCCCTTTGATACCTTCCCCGCACTGGGGGGGTGGGGCCCGCAGGGGGTCCCGGGGGTCCCAGGGAATCCCGGGGGGGGTCCCGGGGCGGTCCTGCTGGGGTCCTGGGGGCATGTCGCCACCCAGATGCGCTTTCCCGGGGGGGTCCCGGGGGGTCCCGGGCGGGGTCGCCGTCGTCGTCGCCGTCCCCCTTCAGGGTCGGCGGCACCGGCCGAAAATCCTTCGCACAAAGTTGTGAGGAAGTATCAGGCCAGCCACTGTTGTTGTAAACTGGAAGCCAAGAACACATTTTGGTGACACTTCGCTTTCCTCTTCGATGAAAACAACAGGGTGCGAGCCCTGGGCGACACACTTCAATTGAAACATGCAATGATTACCGGGGAGGGGGATCAACAACATATTCTTTAGACCTGAAGCAACGACACCAACAACAACGACAACGACAACGACAACAACACCAACAACAACAACAACAACAACAACAACAACAGCAACAACACCATCAACAACAACACCACCAACAACATACACAGCAACAGCAACAGCAACAGCAGCAACTGCACAACTGGCAATACCAAACATAAGAGAGACCGTGATCCACCGCCGCTTTACTGTGGAAAATTGCCAACCTTTTCCTCCGGAGCCCGGGGGTCCCCCCCCCCCCCCCCCCCCCTCCGAAAATCCCCCCCCCCCCTGCTGGAACCCCCCCCCCCCCCCCCCCCCCCCCCCTCTCCCCCCCGGCAAACCCCCCCCCTCCCCTAACCCCTCCCCCCCCCCCTTCCCCCTCGAAAAAACCGGGGGGGTCACTACCGGTTCGAACCCCTCCCCCCCCCCCCCCCCCCCTCTCCGGATCCGGAAAACTGGAGGGGGCCACTACCGGTTCGCACCCCCCCTTCCCCTTTCCCCCCCCCCCCTACTCACCGCCAGCAAACGACTCCCGGTCCCCACCACCGTCCGCATCACATCCCCCACTGGTGTTCCCAGCACCACTGTCCTCACCACCGCTGTCCCCACTGGTTCCACCACCGCCCCTACTGTCCCCACCAGTGGCCCCACCACTGTCGCACTGTCCCCGCTGTCCCCAGAACTGTTCCCACCACGGTTCCACTCTCCCCACTGTCTCCACGGCCCCAACCACTGCCCGACTATCCCCACTGTCCCCACTGTCCCACTGACTCCTCCGCTGTCCCACTGAGCTGTCCCACTGTTCCCACCACTGTCCCCACTGTCCCCACCACTGTCCCCACTGTACCTCTGTCCCATTGTCCCACCGCCGTCCTCGCCACCGCCTTCACCACTGTCCCCACCACCATTGTACCCTCCACTGTCCCACTGTTTCCACCTCATTCCCATTGTCCCCACACCACTGTCCCCACCACCACCGTCACCACCACTGTCCACTGTCCCCCCCTGTTCCCACCATTGTCCCCACCACTGTCCCCACCACTACCGTCCCCACTACTGTCCCACTCCCCACTGTTCCCACCACTGTTCCCGCCACGGTTCCACTCTCCCCACTGTCTCCACGAACCCAACCACTGCCTATCCCCACTGTCCCCACTGTCCCACTGACTCCTCCGCTGTCCCACTGAGCTGTCCCACTGTTCCCACCACTGTCCCCACTGTCCCCACCACTGTCCCCACTGTACCTCTGTCCCATTGTCCCACCGCCGTCCTCGCCACCGCCTTTACCACTGTCCCCACCACCATTGTACCCTCCACTATCCCACTGTTTCCACCTCATTCCCACTGTCCCCACCACTGTCCCCACCACCACCGTCCCCACCACTGTCCACTGTCCCCCCTGTTCCCACCATTGTCCCCACCACTGTCCCCACCACTACCGTCCCCACCACTGTCCCACTGTCCCACTGTCCCCACCACTGTCCCGCTGTCCCCTCGCCACTGTCCCCACCAACACCGTCCCCACCACTGTCCGCACCCCCACTCGGTTTTCGAGGGGGGGGGGGAGGGGGGGTTCGAACCGGTAGTGACCCCCCCCCTTTTCATGATGAACTGGGGGGGGGGGGAGGGGTTCGAACCGGTAGTGACCCCCCCCGGTTTTCCGGAGGGGGGGGGGGGGGAGGGAGGGGTTCGAACCGGTAGTGACCCCCCCCGGTTTTCCGCCAGCAGCGGTAGAAACGCTCTTTCAAACATAACAACCAACAACAACAACAGCTATCAATTTGGAGCTCCCACGCTCCTATCTGCTCGCGTGCCATTCAACACGTATGTCCCAAACCCTCGGTACCCGCACTCGTCGTTGTCGATCGTACCCTGTGTGGGGAATGTCTTCCCTACCTGCCACGTGCATGTAGTGCAGCTCCAAAAACAAGGGAAGAGAGGACGGATGGAAGGGGGAGGGAGAAGGATGGAGCACGAGAAATTAGCAGGAGGCGGACCAGGAGCAGAGAAGACGTGGCAGAACCTGACGAGCAGATCGGCCGGGCAGACACTTGCGAGCGGGCCGGGAAGGCGAGCCCAGGCGGCCAGGTCAGCCTTCGACTCTCAGGAAAGACGCCTCCGCCTTGGATCTCCTTTTAAGTCACTTGGGAGTCGCGCAGCCGCGAGAGACTTCTTGGCAATTCATGCAGGGCTGACGCATCAACGAGCCTCCCGCTCGACCCGGCCGCCTGGGCCCGCTCTTGTCTTCCCGACCCGCCACTCGGGGTCCGCCCGCCCGACCCGCCCGACTGGTTTTGCCGCTTGTGCTCCTGCTCCTGCCTGCTCATCTCTTTCGTGCTCAATCCTTCTTTTTTCCTCCTCCCCCCCTTCCCCCGTTTTAGGGGCTGCGCCAAGTAAGCGTGGCAGGTGAGGAAGACATACCCGCAAGGGGTGTACGATCGAAGGCGACGAGGGCGGGTATCAAGGTTTGGGGCAAACGTGATGAATCAGTCACGCGCGAGCAGATCAGAACGAACAACTTCAAACTGATGAAACTCTCGTTTCTAGAAAAAAACTGTTGTTGATACCCCCGGTGCCCAGTTTGCGCTATTCCATCAAGATGCTCCTCCCGGGGCTCGCACACTGCTTTTTAACAAAGGACAGTCTTAGGGCTCAGATAATGCCCCTGGACCCATTTCACAACAACAGCCACAACGTCTTCCGTCTGATACTTCCTCACAATTGATTCAGTTCGCGCTCTCGCGCGGGACTTCTTCACACTCGATCCAGGGATCGTGCTCTCGCGTGGTGGACGCTCGCGAAGTATTGAGACGTAGCGTCTCCGACTCTCAGGAATGGTCCTTCGCGCCGCACTTCCAAACACTCTACCTGGGAACCGCGCTACCGCGAGAGACTCCTTCGCGAGTCACGCTGGATTGACGCCGCAGCGACCCGCCTGCTGGGCTCGGCCGCCTGGGCCCGCCCGCCCGATCCGCCCCTTGGGGACCGCCCGCCAGGCCCGCCCGTCTGGTGCCCGTCTGGTGCTCCTGCTCCGATCCCCCTCCCGGAAGCCTCCCTCGTGCTACCAGCCCGGAACATATCCCTATCCCTATGCTGGGCACCTCCTCATCACGATGCCAATATTGAGGGTTTCCTTATTTTCTGAAGGCGAACCCCTAAGATGGTCATCGCCTTCTGGCGTGTCAGTCTTGGGGATAAGGATTCGTTCGAGGCTGGTCATCCCTCCCCCTTGCCTCCTTCCCTCCCTCCTCCCTGTCTCTCCGTGTCAGGGGCCGCGCCAGCTGCACGTGTGGCAGGCATGGGAGTCAGGCCCCCGAAAAGGGGCACGTTCGAACACGGGGAGAAGGCGGGTTATGGAGTCTGGGATATACGAATTGGATGTCATTTTTTTGGTCGCGGCCGCGGGCGAAAGCGCACACGGCGAGTCGTAAGTCCGGGGCGCGGGCCTGCTAATTGCCAACAGCAAACTAGAGCCGACAACACGAATTGGATGACACGCGAACATACGAAAGCGATCAATATCAAAATGGTTGTTGCTGCTGTCGTCGTTCTCGCCCGCGACCCACCCCGCGACCCACCCTGTGACCCACCCCGCGACCAACGCAACGCCCGCCCCCTCACTCTTCTTCGCATCGGGTACAGCTGCCAGCGGCCTCCCAGATGGGGTCGGAGCGGACGGGGTCCCAGGATCGCGCCGCATCGCCGACGCATCGGCGATGCACCCGCAGCGTCGGCGATGAAACATCTGGATCCACGTCGAGCCGCACCGCCGACGCATCGGCGATGCGGCGCGATCCTTCGGACCCCATCTGCTCGGATCCTTCCCCATTTGCTCGGATCCCATCTGGGCGGCCTGGAGCTAATTACTTGGCGGCGCGCACAAGGGGGTAGGGGGAGGGGGGAAGGCTTCTTACTTCTTAGAAGGCGCCGGCCTTACATCTACAAAGAAGGCCCGCGCCTTCTAGGAAGCAGGGGTGCTTCTCAGAAGCCTTCCCCCCTCCCCCTACCCCCCCCTGCGCGTGGCCAGAAATTACTCTCTGGACCTCTCATGGGATGCCCTCTGAGCAGACTTTCGGGCGAATCTCGGCCGTGGCGACGCGCCCCCCCTGGGAGGCCGAAGAAGTCGAGAGCGAGGGAAAGTAGCGGTTCTGAACTGCAGTAAGAGGATCTGGGGTCTCGTAGCCTCTAAAACTCCAGTAGAGGTTCTGAGCTCCAGTAGAGGATCGGGGGAAAGGACCCCCAAGGACTGCGCTGCGAAAGTAGAGGCTCTACCCCCGTTGAACCGGTATCAGTACCTTTTCCTCCCCTGAGCTCCAGAGGCTCCGGTGACTCCTGGCAGTGGCCGACGCCCCCGGGGTCCGCGGGCTCCGCCTCGTCCTTCTCGTCGTAGAACCGCCTGTACGCCCGGCACGCCTCGCCCAGCGGGGGCGCCAGCGAGTCGGGAAGGCCGCAGGTGAGCAGCAGGCCGATGACCGATGATCCTCAGGACAGCGCCAGCGTGCACCTGGCACCTGTCCGCCGAAGCCCCTCGATACGACCGCACGACCGCAGGCGATGGGCCGACACAGGCTGCGTGCGTCGCCAGAGCCGCAGGGGATAAACACACATTGGGCTGCGTTGGGGGTCGCTTGCTCACTCAGCTTGTCGCGGCGGCGGCCCCAGCGACACGCAATGCCCTGCAAGCGGATAGCGTGTCGCTCCGCTCCGCTCCGCGGCGCGGGAGGCTCGGAACGCTCGGGACGTTGACGCTCGGGGACTGGGAAGTGGTTAGCGTGTCGCGCCGGAGCGTAGTGGGCCAGAACCGGCGGCGTGACACGCTGAGCCAAAGGCTCCTGACTGTGGCGCACGTCCTGAGGATCATCGAGATCAGGAGCGCCAGCTCCGAGAGGAGCAGGCAAACCCTGGCTGGCGTGGGTGCCATGCCGCCAAGCCGGCCCTGGAAGCGCGCCGGGTCTGCGCGGTACTGGTCCCGCAACACGTCGATGGCCACGTCCGAGAAGCCACCACCCGCGTTGTGGGCCGCGTAGTTCAGCCCGTAGGCGAGGGCCCTCTGCTCCTCACGCGTCAACTGCTTGATCCCGACCATGTACACGGGGGCCAGGAGGCCCTCGGCGAGCGGGGACAGCCCGAGCAGCACGAGCCTCAGCACCGACACGCTGGTGGTCGACAGGATGACGGCTCGGCTGCAGCAGACGATCAGCATGCCCATGACGGCGCAGCGCTTCACCCCCGTGACGTCGATGACGAAGCAGAAGACCCCCGCCCACAGCGTGGAGAGCAGGCCCCACCAGCTGTACAGGAGCCCCGCGTCCACGTCGCTGAGCCCGAACTCGTCGGTGGCGTACAGCACGAGCAGCACCGACATCATGTGGGAGGCGAACGCGGACAGGAAATTCAGCGAGAGCACCAGCCACACGTGCTGGCCGGCAAGGCCTGGGGCTGCGCGTGGCCTCAGGTGTCCCCAGCGGCAGCCCTGGCCTGCCCTCTCGGGCGGGCCCGGGCAGCCCGGTGAGGCCTCGTCGCCCAGGGCCCCGGGGCGCAGAGTGCGGCGATGGGCGCCGCCGGCTGAGCATCGCTTGGCCGATCTGACTGGCCCGCTTGCCCATCTGGAGGGGGGTGCAGGTGCCTGCACCTCCGCGGGGCCCATCCCCACCTGGGAGTGCGCCGGTGGGGCCGAGGTAGCGTGGCCCAGTGGGGCTGGGGACAGGTCGGATGACGCTGAGCCACAGGCTCTGGCAGAAGCGGTCCACACCGCCCCGATAATTCGGATCGGATCGGAGCACACATCAGATCAGGCCGCACCGGCACAAAACTTGAATCGAGTCTGATCGGCCGCGCAAGGATGTACAACAGCGCCCGCACGCATCGGGTTGCATCGGAGAGTCGAAGCATCGGGGTCGAATCGGATCGGGGCATCGGAGAGTCGAAGTATCGGGGTCGAATCGGATCGGGGCATCGGAGCGGCGGAGCATCGGATGGACGGGGGCCCTGGTCTGTGCGCAACCCCAAGCCTTGCCAGTGCTGTCCCAGAGCGGCCGCTGCGCGCAAGGGTGCGGCGACACCCATCGCTTGCGCGCGCGAGAGCAGGCCTCCCAGCTCAGTGCGCGTGGCATGGTGGGCTCGCTGGAGCCAGAACGGCCGCTCGGGGGAGAGGTGGCGGAGAGAAGCAGGGGACGGAGGCGAGGACGAGGCGCGCGAGGGAGGAGGAGGAGGAGGAGGAGGAGAAGGAGGAGGAGGAGGAGGAGGAGGAGGACGAGGAGGAGGAGGAGGAAAAGTGGGGCGAGGAGGAGGAGGAGGAGGAGGAGGAGGAAGACCACGACGACCCAGACGTCCGACGCCGACGAGCAGACCCGCCTCCCATGCGCTGCCCGCGGCGCCGCGGCGCTGCGGCGCCGCCCTCTCGTGGGCGGCTCCCGCCCGCGGGGGCATGGCCGGGCGGCCCGTGCAGATGCCCTGCCAGGTCCGTGCAGGCCGCACCGCGCGGCGCGCTCTCACGGCTGCGCACACGTCGCTCGGGCTCCCTCGCCTCCCCCAGGCCCTCCTCCTCGCCGCTCCTCCCTCGTCGTCGTCCTCTCGCCCCTCTTCCCCGCAGTCCCGCCCAGTGCCTCTCCCCCTCCCTTCTCCCCTCCTCCTCTCCTCCTCGTCCATCCTCGTCCGCCTCCTCCTCCTTTTTTCCTCCTCCTCCTGCAGCCTCCGCCACCTCCCGCTCTCATCCCCTCCTCCGCCTCCTCCTCCTCCTCCGCCGCCTCCTCCTCCCCGCCGCCGCCTCCTCCTCCGCGCATCCTTCTCCCTCCTCCCCTCCCTCCCCCTACACCCGCCTTCCTCCGCCACCGGCTCCCTCCTCCTCCTCGCTCTTCCTCCTCCACTCATCCAACCACGTCCTCTCCCTCCTCCTCCTCCTCCTCCTCCTCCTCTTCCTCCTCCCTCCTCCGCCTCAGCCTCCTCCTCCGCCTCCCATCCTCCTCCTCATCCTCGTCGCCCCACCTCCTCTCCTCCTCCTCCTTCGCCTCCTCCGTCTCAGCCCTCCTCCGCCTCCTCGCGCCTCCTCCTCCGGCCCTCCTCCTCCTACTCCTCCTCCTCTTCCTCCTCCTCCTCCTCCTTCTCCTCCTCCTCCTGTCAGCCTGTACCATCGCCCTCGAAATCGGGAACAAGTATAGGGTCACCATCTGTGACACAATCGCTGCTGCAACGACGACGGACAAGTGTATCGAAAGTTCGTCCTGGAAATCACTCAGGTTATGTATCGCCCCCCCCTGGCGAGACAGGCTTTTCGAGTTCGCACCCTGCCACCTGGACCCCTGGGGGTCTGAGCCGAGGTGTCACCGCCTGCATGTATACCAACGCGCCTGGGGCTTCTTCCAAAATTATTGTGCACCCCCGCATGCATTCTCTCTGTCTCGACAGCGGACAGAGTGTCGTGACGCTACCCGTTCGATAAAACATCGGACTGCGTATGGATATGTCATGTTGAGCGAAGTAGTCTCACAAGTCGGACGGGAATTCACGCAGGACAACAATGACACCCCATGCAGCCCGTGCATTCCGTTCAACGGACAATCGAACTCCAGAGCCCGCAGCCGCCGCCGACCTTTTCACAACCATCATGTGGTGTTGGGTCCTCTATTTGAAAATACGGCGCCCCGCGTCCTGCTCCCTCCTCCCGTCCCTGCAGATGCCTTCCGCATGTCCATGTCGGCACACCCCTCACACGCATCGTGGCCCAACATGGAGCTCCACCAAAGGCCCCAACGGCACCCGTTGCATGTGGGCGTCGCACCCTTTTCTGGTTACCCCTCACACGTTTCGTGGTCCCTGTGGGGCGTCACGCCCGTTTTGGCACACCCCTCACTCGTTTTCGTCGGCCCATCGGGAGCAGGCCCCAGAAACACAGTTCGCATGTGGGCGTCACGCCCGTTGCGGCACACCCCTCACACGTTCCGTGGCCCCTCAAGGAGCTCCACCGAAGGCCCCAGGGGGCCGTTCGCATGTGGGCGTCACGCCAGTTGCGGTACAACGCTGACACTTTCCGCGACCCCACGAGGGAGCTCCACCGATGGCCCCGAGGGCACCATTCGCAGGTGGGCGTCACGCCCGTTTCGACGCACCGTTCACACGTTTCGTGGCCCCACGGGGAGCTCCACCGAGGGCCTCAGAGCACCGTTCACATGTGAGCATCGCATTGGTCTCGGCACACCCCTCACACGCTTCGTGGCCCCACGGGGGGCTCCACCGGAGCCGCATGCGTCCCTGCGCCCGTTTCGGCACACCCCTGCCACGCCTCGTGGCCCCATGGGGGGCTCCATCGGAAGCAGTACCCACAGCGCGGCACACACAACTGCATATACAGTCGAAAACCCTAATGGGGACGCGCGGTAAGGAGGCAAGACCCTTGGAAGCCAAAGTTGGGATTTCTGGGGCGGCGGACGACGAAAACCTCCAGGACGCAAGGGCAAGGAAGAGCAAGGACGCAAGGGTACCCTGAGCAGAGCCGCGCGTCCTCATCAGGGCTTTTGACATCATTGGATGCTTCGCCAGGATACTTGTATCGTGCGCTTGCGAGCAACCGAGACCAGCGCCCGTGGGGCCCCACGGGACGGAGACGGGCCCCTGGCCTTCCCCCCATCCCCCCGCTCCCCTGCCCAAATGTCCTCCTCCCCTCCCCCCCTCCTCTGCCATCTCTCCTCCTCCTCCTCCTCCCCTCCTCCTCCCTACGTCCTCCTCTCCTCCCTCCTCCGATCGTCTCCTGCCTCCCCCCCTCCTCCGTCCTCATTCCCTCCCCCCGCCTCTGTTCCCTTCCCGCCTCCCCACTTCTCACTACCCCCCCCCCCACCCGGACCCGCGGGCCAGACCCCGAGGGGCGGGCCCGCCGTCAAGCGAGATGCACGCTGCTGCCCGAGACCCAAAAACAGAAACAAGAGCCCGCCGCTGGGGCAGATTTGGGCGCTCGAGTTATCCGGGGTAACTCGGGTCCGGGGTAACTCGGGTTCGGGTTCCCGAAAAAGCGAACCCGAGTTATCCCTGACCCGAGTTACCCCTGATGACTCGGGGCTCTGGACGCCCGAGTTATCCGGGGTAACTCGGGTCCGGGGTAAGTCGGGTTCGGATTCCCGAAAAACGAACCCGAGTTATCCCTGACCCGAGTTACCCCTGATGATTCGGGGCTCGGGCAGATGGCCTGGAGGGGCGGTGCGCGTGCGCGCGCAGAGAGACAGCGCATCCGCTGGGCAACACAATGATTGGCGCCGGGCCCTGGGCCTCCCCGACGCCGCCGCCCCACCACCAGGAAACTGATAGGAGAGTATACACATACACACATATATATATATATATACATATGTATATCATACGTATATCATATCATATATATATAAAGGGAAATTAGGACACACAAATAAATACACACAAATAAAAATAGTCCCAATATTTTCCCATATTTTCTTGGTTTTTGTCTTCTCCCCCAATTCCCCATATTTTCCCATATTTTCCTGGGAATCGAGGATTAATTGTGTCTGTGTGTTTGTTTACCTCCTGAATATATCATATATCATATATCATATATATATATATAAGTACAAGACTGCAGTGGCGCTTCGCGCCCTGCACCTTGGTCCTTGAAGTTTGCCATGCAGGCGGAATGGCAGGAAAGTCGAGCCGGCAATTTAGCGATAACTCCTGGTTGCCTTTTCCGGCATCACCGCTATCATGATGTTATTCGTTATATTCCTCCATGCTTATTGTTCCTTATTTTCGCCGTACCCTGCGCATTCTCCCCATCCTCCTCAGCTTTTTTTTGCGGAGGCTCCTCCTTGGAAAGCCTCTAGGGGCCTCACAAAAGTTGTTCCGGGCTTTCTTAAGGCCTTGTGGAGGCCTCCTGGGCGCATTCTGGGGGCCTCCGGGGGCTTCCTCGGGCCGCCCTGCCTCCAACCGCCGTCTCCGTGAACGACCGAATCACGATTTGGAATTCTTCGGAGGGTGTCTTTGGGCCATCTTGGGCCGCCATGGGGCTCTCTGAGGGCCATCTTTGACCCGTGTTGTGCCGTTTTGGGACTCTCTTGGACTGCCTGGAAGCCCTTTCGGATGGTTGTGGGGCGATTTGGGAGCCTCCCAGGCGGCTTCTGACGCCCAGAGGACCGCCGTCTTAGAGCGTCGGGAAGCCGAAAAGAGGAGAACCCTAAAATTCACCAACAACCCATAGAAAATCAATGATTTTTGCCTCGGGGGGCCTTCTTGGGAGTGCTCTTGGAAGCGTCTTTGGGGCCGCCCTGGCGGCCTCTTGGGCCATCTTGAGGTCACGTCGGTCACTCTTGGAGCGCTCTTGTGCTGTCTTGGGGGTCTCTGGGACGTCTCCGATGACCCCCCTGATCGCCT